CTTATGGTTGTCACCCTGTATTTACAAGTAGAAAAAATTCAGATTAAAAAAAAAGTTTAAATCTTTTAAGCTAACATTTAATTAAAATTATTCAGCAATAGCAAAGTTGTCGTTAAAATTGAACAAAAATACTTTCTTTTAGTTTTAGATTTTTAACTTAAATAATTATTTTATGGGGGTTTGTTAGGTTTTAAAATTATTCCATAGATTTAAAAAATATTTATTAACTGTTAGTCGTATTTAAAGTATTTAAGAGTAATTTCGAGGAAACATTTTAAAAATTGGTAAGCGCAAATAAAAAATAATAAAAGGATTAATATTAAAATGTATTCTACTTGATTCAATAAAAAAGTACAGTTATTAAAATTTTTGTAAAAAGTAACTCAAAAAAATTACTTAAATAATAACAATCGCTTTTATGTTAAAAGTTACCGAAACTCAACAAAGCCTTCTCAAGAACAGCTGCTGAAAAATAGAATGTCAATAGTTTTTCAAATAATTTTTAATAATAATTTTTAAGAATAATTTTTTCGCTGAAATATTTCTTTTATACCTATAAGATTTTTATTCTAACATTTTATTTTATTTTATTTTACAAGAAATAAAATTCCTCGTAAACATTAAAAATCTATTCAAAACGTTTGTTTAAGTTTTTTATTAATACGAGTGATTATGCTTATCAACCGCTTTATGAAAATAAATAAAAATAAATAAATAAAAAAATATTATATCGCTGGTAAAAATATTAGCTATTGCACAGTTTTTAATCGTACAATATTAAAATTTTCAGTTTATTACTCGCTGACTTTTTAAAAAGATAAAATAATTATTTGAAAAACTTTAAATTACATATTTGAGAAAAAAAAATCAAATATTAGCATGTTTTATAATCTTTTTTAAATTTTAGTTATAATGTTTTTTATTTGTTTAGTATAGACAAAATGTGTCAAACGTCGAGAACATAAGCAAATGTTTTTACATTTTAAAAAACGAAACATTCCAAAACATTTTAAAATAATAACATTTCTACATTAATGATTTCAAGTAGTTTTGCGGTAAATAAGTAAATTGGTGCAGTTAATGTCAAAAAATTTAAAAAGCAAATAAAAAAAATGATGTCAAAAATTACGTTGTGCTTTTGCGTTGCGCAGTTTTTATTCATCACAAGGCCTGGTATATATATGTGTATCTTATGTGTGTATATATATGTGTATATATATGTATATATATATATTAGGGTGGTGCTTAAAACAACTTTTTTGAGAAAAACCTGCTGGTACCCCCTAAATGTGTTTTATCTAATACAAAAACACTAGGTTTAAAATTTTTTTGAACAAAAATTATTTTTAGGGGTAGCTCAAGGCCCTCAAAAATTTGACGGGTCCCTAATATTTTGAAAAAAAAACTTTTTCTAAAGTATGTCAACCTGGTACTCAAAAGAAGCGATATTATATAAAAACTTCAAAAATAATAATCATTTTACATAAAAAACACCCCTAAAAAAAATTATTCTCAAAAAACCTGAAAATATTGACTTTTTTTATTTTCAGCTTAAAAACAATAGTTTTTATGCATTTATACCTGAAAAAATTATTTTTATAAAAAATTATTTTCATTTTTAAATTTTTTATATAATTTTGCTTATTTTGAGTACCAGGTTGACATACTTTAGAAAAAGTTTTTTTTTCAAAATATTAGGGACCCGTCAAATTTTTGAGGGCCTTGAGCTACCCCTAAAAATATTTTTTGTTCAAAAAAATTTTAAACCTAGTGTTTTTGTATTAGATAAAACACATTTAGGGGGTACCAGCAGGTTTTTCTCAAAAAAGTTGTTTTAAGCACCACCCTAATATATATATATATATATATATATATATATGTATATATATATGTATATATATATGTATATATATATATATATATGTATATATATATATATGTATATATAAATATATGTATATATAAATATATTAGGGTGGCCATAAAGTTACAACTGTTTTTTGAAAATGTATGCTTGCACTCCTTAAATGTGTTCTAAATAATGAAATATTACTGGATTTAAAAATATTTTGAATAAAAAATATTTGTATAGGTTGCGCAAGACGTTAAAAACATCATGGTGGTCCCAAATATAATAATATAAATATAACAGTGTAAATAATATCATAAGTATGTTGGGTCTCAAAAGAAGCGAAATAATAATTCAAAAAATGAAAAAATACAAAATAAAAATTGTATAGTATAATATATATATATATATATATATATATATATATATATATATATATATATATATATATATATACACACACAACATAAATAAATTAAAAATATGAAATTTTTTTCTACAAAAACAATATCTTTAAAAAACTAGAACATTATTAAGATTTCACAATATAAACATAGACTGGAACAAAATTTATTACTGGTATTGTAAAAGAAGTTAATTTGCATGTGTAATACAGATAAACCACTGGATATAGTTCTGATCCTCATGAAATAATAGCAACACTTAGATAACTTTTCCTTCACAACCTATGGCAGTTTATATGTATCTATACTGTTGCAGGTATTTTGACCCCGTTTCTGATATTAAAACTGTATGTTCTTCTTTAGTAGTTTTTTTTTATATTTTTCTCTTTCTTAGTATTAATAACTACTGTTGTATCCTTTCTTCTGTCAAAATACAAATTCAAAATATGATCTTTTTAGTTTAAATGCTGCATTTTAGTTCTGTTCTATCTCATTTTGAAATGTTTCATCTTGATTTTAAATGTTTTATCTCTATTTGAAGTTATGTTTATATCCTTTAACACTGCACATCATAGATGAGTTTTTTCCGAAAATTCACTTTTAATTTTCCAGAAATTTCCGGATGTTTTTTGTTATTAATTTGAAAAAACAATTTATATATTTTTAAGATAAAATTTTGAATACAACAACTTTTGCATTTAAGCAAAAGTTTTCTTTAATAAAAATTTTTACGAGATCAATTTTCATTACCATTTTTTTTTTGTTTTTTTTTTCTTTTTGATTCATTCAAATTAACTTTTTTGAATATTAGAAATCCTTTTTGTAAAAAGTTAAATATTCTAAATTCCGTTTTAACAGTTTACAAAAGTTTTTGTTGTCTGTTCTTCATTCCTATATGCGCGTCTTTTCAATTTTATATGCATTTCATTCTTATATACGTTTTAAAAAAGCAATAAGAACAAAAAAAAAAAATCATTTAAGCATTTTGTTTTGAAAAAACAATTTACTTTTTTCAAAACAAATTTTTCTTATTTCCTGGTAAACGAGTTTAAAATACTTAAAACGAAGACTTTTTACATTTGATGATGGTTTATTTAATTTAGTATCATGTCTTTGTTTAATTTTATTACATAATTAAATTTCTTGATTTATTAAATTATTGTTTATCTTATTATTCATTTATATAGATTTAAATGTAATTATTTATAATTATTAATAATATATCTATATAAAAATTTAAAAGCCTATTTATTGTTTATATTAAATTATATTAGAGATTTTATGGGTGGTTGATTCGAATATAAACGCCCATATAAAAATGAATAACCCCGTAAAACGATCAATTTTTAATTAAATAATTATCCGGGATTTTCATAGAAAAAAATTTCCGGGATTTTCAAAAAGTCAAGTACTCATCTATGGCACATGCAGTGGTGGAGTTTGTTCTATTTTTTTTGTTTCGTTTTTTTTTTTTTTAGTACTAATAACATCTGAGTCAGTATTTTATTTTGCAGTTTCATCAGAATGTAGAGATAGAAAATGAGAACTTGGATTCTAAAAGTTGTTTGGTAATATTATATCTTAAGCATCAATACCTGTAATAGCACACAACAAAGTTAAATGGGTATATAGTAACAGACTTAATATAGTTTTTTTTTTTTTTTTGCTTCTTTTCTTATAATCCCAAACTGGTTTTAATATCAAGACCTTTTTTTATACATAATCTGCATAAATTTATGGTTGCAGGGAAAGTCATGCTCACTCTGGTAATTTATTTTACTGTTTCACAGATGCATTTAGAAAAATTATTGCTCTTGTATGCTGCAACGTCAAATAATTTATTTACTGTAGGCTTCTGATTTGTCATTAATTTAGATTTCAAACTGTCTTTAGGTTTTGTTTTGTTAACCATCTTTGTAACATTTATATACCTTTAACGGTAATTAAAAAAAATGTTTTTGAGTCTGCTGGTAAATCAAAAGCAGGATAAGTTGATTTTATATTTGTTATCATTGCAAAATAATTTTGCAATTATAAATTTTTATATTAAAATTTTTCTTAATAAATAGCAAAAGTATATATGTTCACATCATTTGTTCTTGTTTAATCACCTTTCGTATGGGCTTATGATTTGTTGTGAGAGACTTCGTCTATAATGATGCTGTTTATAATAATTCTACATTGAATGTGTGATTTTTCGATTGATTCTAATGGCAGTCCTATTTCTATGTTTATCATTCTTTCGTCCGTTGTTACAAGATCTAGTACTTTTGTTTTACACCCTTAATTTAAAACTTTGGTTTAGACATGTACTAAGGGAGGTAATTTTTATCCAATTTTTCGATAAAGTTTAATATCTTTTGTAAGTTACTTTTCATACTAATGGATAAATTGTTAGACGATTTAATGTTGTGGCAGTCTCTAGCTATAAAAATGCTAGTGAAATATTTGATGTCCACTAGACTTTTGACTTCTATGATTTAGTTTAGTTTAGCGTTCACTCCTGGTGTGCTGTTTGTACATTAAATAATAAGTACATTTAGTAAATTAAGAATAAATAAATTAATTTGGATTAATATTTTTTTTTTACCTTTAGCCTCATCTTCTTAATTTTTATTTTTATGCTTTCAAATGAAGTTTTTTTATAAGTATTTTTTTTTGAAATTTTGTATTAAAATTCAAAAAACAATTCATAGCCAATCTTGGGTGTTATATAATTACTTTAGTTTAAGATGTGTTTTTGTTAGACTGTCATTTGACAAAGAAGCCCAAATTGAAAAAGCTCGCAAGCTCATCAGCATGTATGAAAAAGAAGGTATCAATAAATCGCGTGTGCTTATCAAACTTAGTTCCACATGGGAAGGTATTCAGGCTGCTAAGTAAGCTTGTTTAATAAGTTATTTTATTTTCAATACAAATTACATTGTAGTAATTGTCTTTTAAAAGTAAATTGGGTTATGTTTAGAGTACTTGAATCAGAGTATGGGATTACATGTAATTTAACATTGCTATTTAACTTTGCTCAGGTAATTTTTTTTTTCTATTATTTTTTATTATTTTTATGAATTTGAAAGAAGGAAAATAAAATTTAATACATCTACATTAAATACTGCATAGTTAAATTTAATTAATTTTAATTTCTTTCTAAAATGTTTTTAGAAATAATAAAAACAATATTTCCAAAAAAATGCTTTTTAAAAAATAGTATTTTTTTTTAATTTATTTCTAGGCTGTTGCTTGTGCTGAAGCAAATGTAACCTTGATTTCTCCTTTTGTGGGTCGAATTTATGATTGGTATGTTAAAAACACAGGACAAAAAACTTTTGAGCCAAAAGAAGATCCTGGTATAATTTTAATTTTCAGTTTTTTTATAAAAGTAAAGTATTTTAAAGTAGTTGCTAGTTGTTTTTTTTTAAACTAACTTTCAAATGTTCCTTTCAAAAATTCAAGACTCAGAACCTTGCTGTTGTAGTTTTTTTTTATCTGTAAAATAATTAGCACATTGCAGGCCATGTGAGGAATAAAAAATGCTTTACATAAGCTCAATGCGTTTTTTAACATTTTTTAAATTTTATATCTAGGAAATAGAAATAAAAAGGTGGAATAAAAACCTTATAAGTTTAAACAAGAGAAAAAGTAGAATATGCTTAAAGTTTAAAAATAGGATACTGCACAACCTGTTAACTAGTTTATCCTGGTATTAAAAAGAAATTATTTTTTTCATATAATTCTTGCAAATAAACGTTTGAAACAAAACAATAATTTAGTTTTTGAAGAAGTAAAGCTGAGTTAGTTAAAAGTAAATTTTTATAGAGTATTCTTTTAATTGCTATATTTTCAGTACTTGAACAAATGTAACTTATAAAGCCTAGTCTAAATAAATATTTACGTGCTTGTTAGACTATTACAGTTAGATTATTATTATTTTTTTTCACATTTTGTTTTTTTACATCATGTTAAAACAATTAAAAATTAAAAAAGTTAATTTTTCATATATGTAAAATGAACTATGTCTAACCCTTTATCACAAGGCCTGTTATTGAAATTATAATAATAAAGATAACATACAATATTGTTGAGATTTACATGTTTTAACATTTATCACAAATATCATTTATTAACTGATAAGAAATATTTTAACCAAAATCGTAAGGTTTTTAAAAAAAAATCATACAATTAAATTAATCAAGTATACTTAACTTTCTTGTTTGTCTGTTCAAGATTTATCTTTATTGTTTTAAAAATTTCATTTTTTATAACCTTTCATTGCTTGATAAATGGCTTAATTTAGATACAGATTTTGTTACTTTTTTTAAATATTTTTTTATGTACCTATATCCTTTTCAAAAAAATTACATATTTGTGTTGCAAATTCTAGATATGGGTGTATATAACTGCAATAAAGGAATTAAATTAGTTCTTTATCATTATATTTAAATGATTTGTATATTATACCAAATTTGTAGTTTGCAATAGATAATGCAATTTTGATTAAAATCTAAAGCATTTGAAATTATTATTCCAAAATTGTTTATAACTTAATAGTAATCAAATCTTGTTTTGCATTGTTATTAGTAATGAAGTATTTATGGTTTATATTTTTTATTACCAATATGCAAGATTTTACATTTTTAAAAATTAAATTGCATTTTATAGTTTATTGCTCATTTTTCTAATATAGCAATGGCATTTTATAAAGCAGTTGCATATGATTCATTATTAACTTCAGCTATATATGCGTTTTAAAATGGTTAAAGCATCTGAATTTTTTGCATTTAATTTAGGTTAAAAAAGGTAAAAAATATTAGAGAAATAATTTTTCAAAATCCTGATGTCAGCAATTCTGTTGTAAAATTTTTGATTTGAACAAAATTACACATTTTTACTTATAGTTTATAAATAAAAACTTTTGTTTATTTATAAAGTTATCTCATTCAAGAAATGCCAATCATATGCAAGTAGGTTTTTTGAAGTTATATGTCCATTCAATAAATATACATTTAATTAAGTTAAACAAATTTTGTGTTCAGTTTACCGTTTTTCACCCTTCGGTGGTTCTGACCATGCAATAATCTCTATAAATCTTTCATTTTGGGGTAATATATTTTCTCTCTCTGCCAATAAATGCGACTCCTACATAACTTCCTGGATCCAGTCAGGAATAAAAGCTTTTATTCCTTTTCGTCAGTTCCAAGTCAAATCTCATTCTACTCCGTGGTTTTTACCTTGTGCAGCTGCTATATCTAATTGTAATCCTTTTTTTCATCTTTTTAAAAAAACAACTCTTTTGAGAACAAATGGCTATTTATTATTGCAAGAAATTGGTGTAAAAAAGTGCTGTCTGATGCTAAGCTCTATCACTTTCAGTTCTCTAAATCCTGTATCTTATTTCAGAAGTTAGGCTCTAGAGACTTTTGGAAAATCTTCAACAGTGTCATCAACAAAAGTAGGTCTAACATTCTTTCTCTTATTTTTTGGATTGACCATATTGCCTTTCCCAAGGATAAGACAGAACTATTTGAAATGAACTTTTCTTCTAAGTTGACTCTTGAATATTAAGGCCATCCACTTCTTTCCATTCCAATTAAACAAGTTAACCCATTCTTAGATTTCCAAATCACTTCAGCTTTCCTTGCTAAATTCATATCTCAATTCCTGTCATAGTCTTTTAAAATTGTTCTCCAGAACGCTTTTCAATTCTCTCTAAACTCTTTAATTAGTGCTTGACTGAATCATTTTTGCCTGCCTGCGGGAAAATGTCATCTGTGATTCCGATTTTCAAAAACTCTGGAGAACTCTGACCCCTCCAATTATTGTCCAATCAGTCTACTTTCTGTTATTAGCAAGACCTTTGAGTCTTTTATTGGTATATTTCTCACATCCCATCTTGAGTCATATAACTTACTGTCAGACAATCAATAGTAAGTGACCGGGGCCCCGGCCCCATCCCCGGCTGAAAATTAAACTTTTTGCCAACCTGGCTCTGGGCTGGAAAAACATTTTTTAATACTTTATGTATTATAATTTTATGCTTACATTTACTATTTATTAAATACTGACATATATTTATATATTTTTAAACTTTAATTTACTTCCAACAAGATTGCAAGCAACCACTATTAAGTTATGAGTTACTTTAAATTGAGAATAAGTTAAAGTAGTAGGAAACGGTTAACTTAAGACTTTTAAAAAGTTGTAGGTTGTATAAAAAATGAAAACATGAAGATAGGTAAGAGTTGTAAGTTTTTTTTTTTGATGTGCAAGGAAAAAAACTGGATTGATAAAAGTTTTCATAGCATGGAGGGACAGATACAGTAAAATGATGCAACTTTTGAATAAGAAGCCAAATAAGAAAGAGTTTTGGTTTATCGTAATAGAGATAGCTCATTTGAAAATCCACTATGATAGTATTTGTAGAAAAAAGAAAGAAATGCAACCTTACAACAATGGAAGAGTGGCTTAAGCTTAGCAGATAAAGCAGGTCTAATTACATTTACAATGTGCTTTGTCTGAGAGTAAAAGGGTTGTTATTCATCAATATAGGAATGCTAACATTATTGCAATATTTTTTTGCAGTAAATGAATTTTGTTGTCTAACAAAGATTGTGAATTTCAAGTCCAGAATTTAATTCCATAAGCCACTGTAAGCCTAAGGCTTTTACAAAAGAAAGATCAGATTAAAAATTGACTGTTTTTTTTAAGCAGTTAAAAATAGAGCCACTTTAGATGTAAAATTTTCATGAAAATTGATATTGTAGTTAAGAAACAATTTAGGAGCAAAGATAGAACCTTTTGGTACCCTTAAAGTTACTTGAAATAAAAAACGGTGTAGGCCTTCAAGAATAACTTTATTACTGTAGTTAGAAATAAATAAATTAATCTCAAAACTTTTATATAAATAAACTAATAACAGAGGGAAGACTATTCGTAGGATAGTTGGAGAGGTCAACATGTTTCTAGAGTTTTGACACTTAATTTAAGTGTCAAAACTCTAGAAACATGTTGGTTAATCTGTTTAACTGGCAGTAAAAGTATGGACATTAGATTCAAGAATCAAATTAGAGTAAGATTTCTTAGCAAATGACTCTGCATTCTGGAGAAAAATAGAAAGATAAGAACCATGAATTAAAGATTCAATGTTAGACTTACTTTAGTTAATGACACTGATGAAGACTAACCAAAAGTCCCTAGAACCTAAAATCTGAGATAAGACACAAAATAAGCTGAGAATATCAGAGCTTAACATCAGACAGGACCTTTTACATTGGTTTCTTGGAATAATAAAAGGACATTTGTTCTTAAGATGTTTTTGTAAAAAGATGTGAAAAATGATTAAAGTTTATTAAAGCAACTGGTAAAGATGGTGAAAAATGTTAAGTAGTATCAGGCTTGACTTAAAATTGAAGAGAAGGAATAAAAGCTTTTAAACTATTATTCCAGAAGGAATAAAAGCTTCTGAGATGCACTTTTTGCATACATATTATGGATATAAACATTCATTTTTGCTATTTATTTAGATGCTGGCATACAATATCCTTACATATTTATATAATTTTTAGTATTTATATTTGTCGAAAAAGAAGATGATCAGATGATGATCATGATTGTAATGATGATGGTAATGATGAATATGATGATCATGTTTACCATAATGATGTTTATATATCCATGTATAAAAAAAATGTAACATGAATTTTGAATTAAAAAAATACACTTTAGGATGTATAAATGTTTAATATAAATGGTCACAAACCCGGCCCCTGCCACAGCCCTGGCTATATTTAATCAAATCCGGCCCCGGCCCCAGTCAAATATCAACCCTAGTCTTTTACTAATAATCAATATGGTTTTTTATCTTCTTGCTCTATGGTTGAGTTACTAACTGCTATGATGGAAAGATTTTATTGTGCATTAGATGGAGGCGGTGAGGCTTAAGCTATAGCTCTAGACATCTAAAGCTTTCGATAAAGTTTGTCAGGAACTACAAGGTTCTATCCTTGGTTTTGTTTTAATTCTTATCTGCATTAATGATCTTTCTGACAACCTTACATCTAAAGTGGCTCTATTTGATGATGACCCAACTTTATATATGAAATACTGTTGTCATATTTGGGCTGGTCCTTCTAATGATGCTCATTCTCTTTTAGACAAGGTCCAAAAACTCATTGTTGGACCTGCTCTCTCTGCTAAGCTTGAGCCTCTCTCCCGCACTTAAACCTTTTGGAACTCTCTCCCATTTTCATGTTTTCCTGACTCATACAACCTGCATTTTTCAAGTCTTCTTTCAACTGTTTTTTTTTTGCTCTATAACTCTATTTTATTTTTTTTTCCTAGTAACTCCCAACTTAATAGTGGTTGCTTGCAGCCTTGTTGGGAGTAAATCAGAATATAAAAAAATAAAAATAAAAAAACTAATTAAATATTTTATTATATACATAATTTTGTATTTTAGGTGTAAAAAGTGTGACATCAATTTACAACTATTATAAGAAATTTGGATATAAAACTATTGTCATGGGGGCATCTTTTAGAAACATAGGACAAATAATAGCGTTAGCAGGATGTGATAACCTCACAATATCGTAAGTTAATTTATTGTTATATATACATATATATATATATATATATTATATATATATATATATATATATATATATATATATATATATATATATATATATATATATATATATATATATGTAGAAATTATGTTAACATTTCCTGTGCTCAATACAGTATGTTATATAATTGGTAGAGCAAATAATATAGTGAAAACTAATAATTTATAATTTAATGATTATTTTTTCATGGCGGCACTTTGACACAAGCTCGATTCATATATTAAAAAAGTTTAATGGTGATATAATAATGTGGTATTTTTTCTGTCAAGCCTAAATTGCAAATCTTGATTCTAGAATGTTTGTAACTAGAGCTCCTCATAAATCGTTATAAGACCATGAAAATGATCCAAACAAAGAAAAATACAATATTTTATTTGATAAAAAGTTTGCAAATTTTTGATGAATCAAAATGGTTTAAAAAACAAGCTCCATACTTTGGAGACAGTGACATTTGACAATCAGCAAAAACTTTCAATATTTGTGAAAGAACAGCAGTCCAAGAATTTGGTGAGTATTTTGCCACTGGTGACTGTAATAAAATTCCTAATGATCTTCAGCCTATGAGCAATGCTTTATATATTTTAATTGTTTCTGCAGTTGAATGCAAGCATTCTTTTTCTGCTATGAATATAGTCTTGTCTTCTTTGCGAAATTCTTTGATAATAAAAACAGTGTTGAGTTTAATTTTTATTTCATTAGAAGGTCCACCAGTTATTAATTTTGATCCAAAGGATTTTGTAATAAAGCGGTTTGGAAAAGGACATTGTGATGCTAATTTCAGGAATTGTGAAGCCCCAACATTAAAGTCCATCAATTGAAGTGATATATTTTGGAAGATATTTTGACAAAAAAATTTGTTTAACTTCTAATATTGGTACACATAAATAAAATTTACATTAATTGTATTAATATACTTACCATTTTTTTTTAGCAAATTTTAAATTTGTTTTTTGATTTAACGGTGACAATCTTTTAAGAATATAACTGCACAAACCCATCAACACCCCTACACCCACCCCCCATTATTATTTTTACTATAGGCGTTTATAATCCCTTATTTGAGAAAATAAGAGGTTATAAACGTTAACAGTGCAAATTTTTAAGAAAACTTGTATTGCATGAAAGTAAAACTTGTACTACATGACTCGTTAATACAGGCCGGTTGGTAAGAAGAAAACATTAAAAAACATCCCGCTTCCTTTTTCCTTTCTTTGAGCACTGTGTATATATATATATATATGTTTTTAAAGTTAAGATTTCCAACTTTTGATACTGTTTTAACTGTAGTATCAATTTAATGAAACAGTTTGTCGAGTGTGCAAAAAGAAATTTCAGTTGGTTCAGTTAACTGAATTTTAAGACTGTCCGAGTGATAGGTTGTTGTGGATGGCTGTATCTGTACTTATTATTTGCTCTTAATTTAAATGTATCTATGGACCTATTTTTATTATATATATCTATTTTTATTAGAGGTGAACCGATTTCAACTTTTGGCCGATGCCGATCAGTCCTGATCGAAATCGGCCAAATTGTACTTTTTTCTTCTTTACTAGTTTTTTACTAATAGGTAAATTAGGATTTTTGTATATATATAATGTTAACGGCCAATTTTATTGCTTGCTCATTTGCTCAATGCTTAGTTGATTTACTCATTTTTGATTTATTTTTTATTTAATTTTATTTCTAAGATCTAAGATTAAAACTATATTTTAGGAGTATAGTTATAAATTATATGAAATTTAATAAGAAATAAATCAACAATGAGCAAAGCAACTAAAAGTCTTATAGGCTATTTTTATATAGATGAAAATAAACTTTTTATATGAAAATAAACTTTTATGCAATTTGTAAATTTTGCAAAATAAAAATATCAAGAAGAGGAACATCTGGCAGAAAATTTTTACATTTTACATTACATTTACATTTCTTGATTTTAAACTTATCTCCTTGAATACCTTGAATCCATAAGTCATATAATTGCTTTCCTAAATTATATAAAGACACTAAATGTAGGGAACTCCTGATAAAAACAGTTAAATATACTTAAATTTTTAGTGGTTGCAGATATGTCTATTTAACATTTAGGCTTATACATGCATTTTTGTTTGTGGAATAATTGTATTTTTGTATACAATATAGAAACCAAAATAACCGATGGCGATGTATCGGTGCACCCCTAGTTTTTATGTACATTATGTTTAAATTAAACACATTAATATTAATTATTATAAATATATATATATATATATATATATATATATATATATATATATATATATATATATATATATATATATATATACACATAACTTTTGTATGTATGTATGTATGTATGTATATTTTAGTAATTGAATAAAGTTTCATTTTTTATTCACAGGCCAGAACTTTTAGAACAATTAAATAAATCGACTGATCATCTTACGAAAACATTAAGTGTAGAAAAAGGTTAGTTTAATTATTTTCGTATAGTTTCTTTTAATAGATATAATATGATTGAGTATTTATTTTTTTACTTCCAGCTCAAGAACTTGAGCTTGAAAAAGTTTCTCTCGACGAAAAGCAATTTCGCTGGTTACTTAATGAAGATGCTATGGCAACAGAAAAGTTAGCTGAAGGAATAAGAAAATTTGCCCAAGATTCTTTAAAACTGGAGTCGCACCTTCGTGAGCTCATTATCTCTCATAAGTCTAATTAAGCGACTGAAGTTTAAAAAAAAATGTTTTTTCTATTTATAAAATCGTAATTTTGACGTTTTTTTAGTGTTAATATTTTTTTAATAGTTGCATATTTATTTACTTTATCACGGTTAAAGGTATACAATAGACAATAGGATGGTCTAAAATGTTCAATAATTTTGATAAAGATATTTATTAAAATATTTTTTTAAAACTAACCTTGTTTAAAACTAAGCCTTTAATATAACTAACCTCTCCGAACCATATTTTAACGAATCTATAAATATTTTTTGTCAGTAGTTAAAAACTTTGTAATGTTGTTAATTACTTGCAATGTAAAAATATCGGGTATTTATTACTTTTAGTAGTTTTTTAAACGGTACATCTTGCTGTAATATTAGGCCTGGTGAATAAAAAAAGCAATTGCTTTTACTTAGTAAAATGTCAGCTTTAAGTAAATAAAAACATTAGCAATTTTCCTTAAACTTTTATTGATGTAAAGCTGAACAATTACTCAGCGTTTTTGGAGTAGATTGCTTAGTTTTACGTGAATATAAATTTGAGCGAGTTTGGTAAAAATTTTATTTACATTGTACAATTCAATGCTGTACAATTACTCAACAAACGCTGCAAACTACAATTCAAGTTTTATTCAATGGTGTACAGTTACTTAACTAACGCTGCAAACTACAATTCAAGTTTTATTCAATATGAATCAAAAATATTTTTTTTATTTTAATCAATATGAATCAAAAATATTTTTTGTTTAAATAAATGCTGCATTAACCATACCCAATATCAAAAATAGGGAAACAAAGAAAAATAACTCAAACGGATTTTAAATAGCAACTATACCAAACACTTCGTAATTCAACTTACTCGATGAGTTAGAGACTTCTTTAAAAAGCATGAGTACAAATAATTAGCATATTTGAATATTTTAAAATCTATAGGTCGTAAGTTATGATAAAAACATTTTGATTGTTAAAAATGTTTGCGAATGTCTCATAAATTATGCATACTTGTAAAAATTCATTCACTTAGTACACTGTCACCGGCAAATAATAAGAAAATATTTGCAAATTTTGTTGGTAATTTTTGCGTTTGCTGACGACCACTTGTAAGAGTTTGCTATCCAATTTAAGCGAACAGTTTCATATAAAACTAATTTGATTTGCAATTAAATTTTTCTTTTCCACATCTTCATATGTGTGCATTTTTTTGTAGAGATTATTTTTACCATTTTCATGCTCATTTTTTTCTTACAAAGTGGAGTAGAACCATCAGTGCTACTAGACACTGGTGATGCGCATAGCGCATCACCAGTGTCTAGTAGCACTGATGGTTCTAAAATATTAAAATTGAAATTTTTTTTCAATTTTAAAATATTAAAATTGAAAAAAAATTTCAATTTTAATATTTTAAATATTTTTTAACCGAAACAAGTTAATCAATAAAAAAATGTTTGTAGCAAATTTTTTAAATTTGCCTTTTTAAGTGTGGGATTTTCAGGGGTAAAAAATAATATGGTTACTTTTAATATGGTTACATTTAATCTCAGCTAACTTTTGTTTGATGATTTTTCTCCAAAGCATGTTTTCAGAAGTAAAAATACATTTGCATGTGCTATATTTTTGCCGTCCACGTTTTTATCACTTTATGGTGGTTACACAGTGAGTTTTTAACAATTTATTTTGATTTTTATTTAATAAAAATTTGTGGAAAGTTTTGATTTTTATTTAATAAAAACTTGTAGAAAAGGAAAAAATTTTTTCTAACTAAATATAAAACATCAAAAACCAACAAAGTAAATATCACTTGTGAGTATAATATATTTTATAAATTAAGTTGTTATTATATTAAACTATAATAAAAGTATATATATATATATATATATATATATATATATATATATATATATATATATATATATATATATATATATAAATGCATAGATTTCTCTCTCTCACTCTCTTTCTCTCTCTCTCTCTCTCTCTCTCTCTCTATATATATATATATATATATATATATATATATATATATATATATATATATATATATATATATATATATATAAACAATTTTAAAAATGTATTCTGCAAAAGAGTGCTCAATGTTCTTAAAAGTACAGAGCAATTATAAATTAGTAGAAAATCACTTAACAACATTTTTTTTTCATTTTAAACTGTGTTTCATCAACAAAGACTCATCAGAAATGAATGATCAAATTAATAAAACTTCAATTTATACCAAGAAAGTTTTTTAGGAGAAACTTATTTTCGTGCCTGCATTTATAAATCAATTCCAATTTTTTGTTTAACAAACATTCTTAGTTTGCATGTGTAATTATTTCAAAATTTTCTTGTAGACATAATATGCATTTTTTTTAAAAATAGTGTTGTATGCAGGCGCTGTTTTAAGGATGGATCAATTCAGTATAAAATCATCAATATTTTTATCTTTTAGTTCCCATATATAATTTGACAGCATGGTGTCTTTTGGATACTTTTTATTTTTAAAAGATTGTTTATGGTTGGCAAAACGTTTTTTGTATTCACCCTCTGTTACGCCAATATATTGTTTATCGGGTACATTCTTAGAGGAAACAACACATTTATACACCACATTTTTTGATAAGCAACTTCCACTCATTGGACAATTGTTTTTTTGTTTACAATTACAATTTTATGTAGTTTTTTTATTTCGGATTTCTTTTTTATTTAACAAAGCATTATTGTGACCTTTTATAATTCTTTCCATATTTTTTGTGTAACTGTAGCTAACTTTAATTGTATTTCGATTAAAAATTTTATGTAATTTATTAGAGGGAAGGAATTTTAAAAACACTTTTCCTATGTTAGTGGAAACATTTTTGCTATATGGGGGGTTAAACCAAATTAGATTTCTAGTTCTATTCCGCTTTTTTGTATTCTTTTTTTCAGGGTCAAATTTTAGTTCAAATTTGTAAAACCACTTTTTTTAAGGGCATCTTCAAATATTTGTTTGGAGGAATTAAAAACATTTTCATTAGAGGAGTTTTGGTTTAACCTGTTATTAATTGAAATTGGGATTTGTTTTAGAATTTGTGGTGGATGATTTGAGTTAATATTAATATACAATAATTCATCGTTTGGTTTTTTGAAAGGCTTGTTTGAATTTTCAGAGAGGTTAAATGTGACATCAAGAAAGTTCACAATTTTTAAATTTATGTTTATTTCAATTTGAAAGCCAGTATTTTTAAAAATTTTTATAATATCTTTTCGAATTTTATCGAGCTGTGGACCAGATATTTTACGCATTACTATTAAACTATCGTCGCGATAAAGGCCTAAATCATTTATATTGATCATTTTACTTAATAAATCTAAAATATATAATCCAACAAATTCACAAATTTCTGCTCCATCATAACTGCCCATTGTTACATCAAAGCAGTCGTGTATGTTTTTCTTTTTCCAAGTTTCCCTATTAAAGTAAAGTAAGGTTTTTCTGCAATGTTTTATTATACGGATTGTTTCTTCAGGAATAACTGTGTGGCTTTTTGCAAATTCAATTGTTTTATCTAAAATATCTGCAGTTATTGAAGGATAAAAATTATTAATGTCAAATTGATGTATATCATTTTGACATTAATAATTTTAGTCATTTAAAATTATTAATGTCAAAATGATCAAATGTATAGTCATCTTTATTTTCGATTACGGAGAACCAATTTATAAAATCAGTGGTATTTTTCCACTGTTGCAAATTTAATTTATTTCTAAGAATATTATTAATTTTTTCCAATTTAATTTTGCTTACATGTCAAATCTCACTTTTTGAGGGAACCAATAACCTACAAGGAAGTTTGTTTTGAAAATTTGGTTTATGGTCTTTTAGTGTTACAAAGGCTTGGTCAGGGGCAGTATATTCGATTCTGTTATCAAGGTTTATTTTTTTAGCAATACTTTAGGCTTCTAAATTAACTGCATTTTCCAAATTTTTAGGAGCTTTCTCATAAGAACTAGTAATATTGTCGCGTAAAATTTTTTCATAGTTTTCTGTTGTGAGTTGGTAAATGTTATTTGTTTTATGAGCAAAAACCAAAACATTTGGGTTTGATTTACTTTTTTTAACATCTAACTTTAATTCTGCTTGAAATTCATTTTTTTATAGGGCGAAACTTCATTGTTTTAATTAAATGCAATAGGTCATTTTAAAAAATTTTCCAAATCAGGTATAAAAGGTGGGGTATTTTTTGTTTTAAATCCATAATTATCATTATCTTGGTTATTATTAAATACATCATCTATGTTTATATTTGGTTTTTAGAAAAAATGGGCTTTCCAACGAATTCTTTTAATAAAATGCTCAACTTTTTCAATCAAAGAAATAATATAACTTTTTTTATCTAGTATAGGTATATTTTTCAATGAGTAAGTGAAATTATTAGTTAAATTAATAACAGGTTAAACCAAAACTCCTCTAATGAAAATGTTTTTAATTCCTCCAAACAAATATTTGAAGATGCCCTTAAAAAAAGTGGTTTTGAAAATTTGAACTAAAATTTGACCCTGAAAAAAAGAATACAAAAAAGCGGAATAGAACTAGAAATCTAATTTGGTTTAACCCCCCATATAGCAAAAATGTTTCCACTAACATAGGAAAAGTGTTTTTAAAATTCCTTCCCTCTAATAAATTACATAAAATTTTTAATCGAAATACAATTAAAGTTAGCTACAGTTACACAAAAAATATGGAAAGAATTATAAAAGGTCACAATAATGCTTTGTTAAATAAAAAAGAAATCCGAAATAAAAAAACTACATAAAATTGTAATTGTAAACAAAAAAACAATTGTCCAATGAGTGGAAGTTGCTTATCAAAAAATGTGGTGTATAAATGTGTTGTTTCCTCTAAGAATGTACCCGATAAACAATATATTGGCGTAACAGAGGGTGAATACAAAAAACGTTTTGCCAACCATAAACAATCTTTTAAAAATAAAAAGTATCCAAAAGACACCATGCTGTCAAATTATATATGGGAACTAAAAGATAAAAATATTGATGATTTTATACTGAATTGATCCATCCTTAAAACAGCGCCTGCATACAACACTATTTTTAAAAAAAATGCATATTATGTCTACAAGAAAATTTTGAAATAATTACACATGCAAACTAAGAATGTTTGTTAAACAAAAAATCGGAATTGATTTATAAATGCAGGCACGAAAATAAGTTCTTCCTAAAAAGTGAGCTCAAATAACAGTTACATTAAACCCACCCTATTTTAAAAATATTTTTATAAAAAAGCATATATATATATATATATATATATATATATATATATATATATATATATATATATATATAT